GTCTAACTTGACAGAAAACTAGATCATTTTAGATTTTGGCCTGTTGCCTGGGGGCAAAGAAGCAATTGGATGACATCACCTTAGGCTAAGCAATTAACTGATTGATCAAGAAACTACTCAGCAGATAATCAATAATAATAATAATCTTTTGTTGCAAACTAATCATTTAAACATGTAGCAGCAAAAGTTCTAATCATGCTCAATTCAAATTCAAATCAACTGACTAAAACCCACACGATATCGCATTTACTATAATGCCCGAAAAAAAGAAAAGAAAAGCAAAGAAAAAACTTTGAGTCGGCCGATGTTTGTTTTAAAAAAAAAATAACTATAACAATTATTAAATTACCAAAAGTAGCTGCCAATGTATTTTCTGTTGATCTGCTAATCGATTAGCAAACTAATCGTTGCAGCGCTACCCACTAGTGTGTAAAGTTCAGTTATCAGTCTAACTTTACAGGTGCAGCTGCAAGACACGAGAGAAGAACAGGGAAGAATACAAGATCTTTTCTATCCAATTGGAAACAAAGAAAAAGTATTAAATGATGATGTGATTGTTCCTCCATTATACAGGGTTAGACTTACTGATAAGTACCTCACTGAGAAATAGACCTTCCAGTACAGTTACATGTCTGTGGTTGCAACTAATCAGTAACGACTCACTCACCCCTGATTATTGATAAGTTTGGATTTTGTTTAAGTAGATAAGATTTATTTAAAACTGCACATTTATGGATACTATTCTTCTTTTAGCAATGAACCGATGGCCTCATTAGCCAAATCCTCTTACAAATGATCGTGGACCAATATGAAGCTAGCATTAGGCAAAAATGTTTGACTAAACGTTGCTCACTCTTCACAACTTTGAGATCAAGCAGCTAACGATTGATAGTTTTACCTTTCTTGTTAACATTCCCGTTTACAATTTTTAACGGTGATATCATGACTTCTGACACAAACCTGGTGCTAATCTAATGATCAATGGACACTCTGCTAGCCAAGCTAACAACGCTGACGTTAGCCGCTACGTTAGTTAAGCCATGCGGTGCACCTGACTCAAACATCAGGCAGAAGTAGCCGTCTTTACAGCTAATGCTGGGAACTAGGACCTTCTATAATAACTGCCTAGGTAAAGAGCGTTCTTTAACCCGGTCCCCTAGGTAGCGAGTTGCCGTTATCTTACATTTCACTAAGGCTAGGCCGACCTCCCGCCTTTGCGAAAGCATGTTGTCTGACGGCTAACGGTAGCTAGCTAGTTAAGCATGTTTTACTACCACTTTCTCTCTGTTGTATCCTAACGTTAACATTCCACCACTTACATGTTTAGGCGTGAAGTGAGCCTCTTTTTCGCAGATAAAGCAGTCTTGTGAGAAAAAATGGTAATGCCTGCAAAAAGAAGGAATGCTGCCCACACACAGCCACTGCAAACGCCTCTATCCAGTGGACTGTAATACTCCGGATGTTCTTGCGTATCTCGGGATGAGAATGGCAGTTCTGACGCAGCTGGAGCGTACTAGACGTTTCTAGAGCTTTCAGCCACAGCTGCGGGTGATGTGAGGGAGGCAACCTCACATTTAATGGGATTTTCTATGGTCTCCGTACCACCCAGTATGATCACTTCAAATAATCTTATCCATGGCCGAAAATTTGATTATAATGCAACAAAAATCATATTTATTTTGATTATCTTAATTTACTTTTATTTTTTGTTTGCCTTTAAAATTCGTGCCAAATATGTGCATTTACCAAGGGCGTTACAAACAGGTAAACATCTCAAATCCATGACAATAATCAAAATGGGCATGTATATTCTAATAAGGCACCATTTATAAAGGGTGTATAAGCAATCTTTATTACTGGTTAATTAACCATTTATTAATGCTTATAGATCAGTTATTAGCCATTAGCAAGAAGAACTTTTGGGTTGCCAGGTTGTGCAAAATCCTCCTCCAGCATGACACATTTGTCTCTTGTGGATTATGACTGATCGCTAAAGCATTGATGATATATTAACCATTAATTAAAGATGATAAAGCCATTATAAATGGCGCCTTAACAGAAGGAGGAGCCAATAAATTATATATCATGTATATTTAAATAAAAAACAATACTTTTATTTGTTGAATGGTAAATGCATTGTCTTGTGTTTTCCATTTGTAAGGTTGCTACTAATGATTATTTCCATCATCGATTATCAATGATTATTTTCTGAATTGATTATTTCATCTAAAAATGTCAGGAGATAGTCAAAACTAGCCGAAGAAATAATTGTACAGAAGTAATTGTTAAAGGAATACACAAATATAAGCAGTTTATGAATCAAAAGCAGTAATCTGAGTGATTCAGTCATCAAAATATTGAGTACAAATGTTTTCTTTTTTCTTGTCTTTATTGTCTTTTTGGACATGAGATCCTATAAGTGGTAGTAAAAAAAAAATACAAATGTAATGGTTCATAAATATAATGGGAATTTCATAGCATCCGTTTGTTTATCTATGGTGATTGTGTCTCCTCCAGACTTTCTATGATACTCTGCTTGGATTAATAATCTGTTTGATCGTTTTTTTCCAATAAAACAATTCTGATTACCTTGTGAAAAATTCTTAAAATGACATTTCCTCTTCCTACCTTATTAAAATCCAATATCTATGAACATATAGGCTATTGTAAATATTATTCATTTAAAAGGCTGAACTACTGGTCACACCATGTCTCATACTTCACTGAAAATTTCATTCTAGGTTTTGGTGCACTGGAGGATTGCACTAAATTGCATTCTGAGCCAGGATCAGTTTTAAAACTAGTTTTGATGTCACAGATTCATGCTTGCACATACATGTACATGTCTAAAATTGAGATTTAAAGTGAGCACAGAGAAACGACAGTAGATGAATGTGAAAACTGTGCTTTTGGGGGTCAGGTTACTAATGCATGACTCTGCACAGTGAAGGTCAAACATCCAAGTTAAGTAACAATAAGCGGTTTATGCCTCCCATTAACTGTAGACCTTCAAATTTTTTGTCTATTTCTCTTGACAATGTCACTGCTGAAAATGAAGCTTTCCTTCCAACATTCATCTAATAGATCCAGGCTTACATACCTGTACTATCTCCAAAGAGGTCAGGTTGTGTGGGAGTGTAGCATGAAGTAGTCATAGCTGGATAAAAGCTGGGTGGGGCCATGCTGGGAGTTTGGGTAAGTGACCAAACTCCATATACAGGTGGTGAAAAGAATCGCAAAGACTCTAGTAGCCACGCTATAGCAGAGAAACAAAACATTTGACAAGAGGAAGTTTTATTAGTCTAAATAAAATCACCTCTGTGCTTCTGGCCTGTTAAAAAAAAATCTTGTCACATTTTAAATATCTGTTATACCAGGTCTGACCTCAAACTAAAAACTACAGTGTTCATCTCCACTAACTGCTACTTTATCAACTTCAATTTCTCAAAACATGAAAATTGAGGTGTCACAAGCAGGTCACAGTTTGCTTCCAGCAGCCAGTTAGGACTGGCATTCATACCTCTGGTTCCACAGCTACCTAATACACAGAACATTTGGAAAGTGTTCAGACCCCTTAAATTTTTCACATTTTGTTATGTTGGAGCCTTATGCTAAAATAAAAAAAACAAAAAAACAATGACCCATAGTGACAAAGCAAAAACAGAATCTTAGAATTTTTTGCAAATTTATTAAAAAGGGAAAAATGAAATATCTCATTGACATAAGTATTCAGACCTTTTGCTGACACTTGAAATCTACCTCAGGTTGCTCCCATTTCTCTGCCTACTTTGAAATGTTTTTACACTTAGATCTGAGTTCACCTGTGGTAAATTCAGCTGATTGGACAAGATTTAGACAGGCACACACCTGTCTTCATAAGGTCTGACAGCTGACGATGCCTATCAAAGCAAAAACTAAGCCATGAGGAGGAAGGAACTGCCTGCACAGTGGCCTCCATGATTCTTAGATAGAAGAAGTTCAGAACAACCAGGGCTCCTCCTAGAGCTGGCTGCTAGGCTTAACTGATCCTTCAGGGGAAAAGGGCCTTTGTAAGAGAAGTGACCAAGAACCCAATGGTAATCTGGTTGAGCTCCAGAGATCCTGTGTGGAGATGAGAGAAACTTCCAGAAGGACAACCATCACTGCAGCACTCCCCTGGAGGCTTTCTGGCAGAGTGGCCAGATGGAAACCTCTCCTCAGCGAGAAACATACGAGTTTGCAAATACACACCCAAAGGACTTGCAGCTCACATTACTGAACAAGATTCTCTGGTCAGATGAAACCAAGATTGAACTGTTTGGCCTCAAGTCTCAATATGTCTGGAAGAAACCAGACATGACACTTACAATTAGCTGATCTTATTTGATTTTAGAAGCTGCAAAATAACAAAATGTGAAAAAGTGGCTTAAGAAATGTCCATTCACCTCAGCTAGGCAAAGTGTTAATGATCAAGTTTAGCTCAAAGTGGGGTGCCTTGATTGTCGAATGTGTGGAGCTTTTGTATGTCATAACCCTCCTTATCCCCATGTTTCCTCTCTACACCAACTATCAAATAAAGTCAATCCCAAAAAGTTTAGCTGAAAATAACAAGCAGATGAACTAACTGAATTACCAGCCCCATCACCCACATAAGTTCAAGTACATGTATTTTGACACAAACAACAGGGTACCAGTGGCTTGGTGGTTTGTCACATTTATCAGGAGGCTTAAAGGCTTGAATCTCAGCATTGAATACTGAATACTGGGACTCTGTGTGTCGAGTATGGTGTTGTGTCCTCTACAACATAAGGCTGTAACTGGTTCAACTTCCTATGACCTCTAAAAAGGAATATAAAGGGTAAAGAAAATGGAAGGAAGATTCCCGATAAAAATCCATATTTCCATTAGTCCTGTTTAAGGACACCTGCCCCATCCCTGCCTTAACCACACTAATAATCAATCCACAATTAACCCCCCCCCCACACACACACACACTTCCCAATGAACAGCAAACACCAAAATTTCATTTCATCAAGCCACAACTTTATTTCCATCTTGGGTATAAATTGTATAAACGAGTTTAGATTAAATCAGCAACCTTTCTTCAACTCTTTGTTGACAGGGTCCCATTACATTGTCAACTCCTGCAAAGGGAACAAAAAAGATTTGTTAGCGTACGTTTTAAGAATAATTTTTTCAGTTCAGAGAGTTTCTCTCTTCTCAGGACAGAAATGTTGGCTTCAGTAAACTCAGAAGAACGAAAGTCACTGTATTATTCATCACTGAAGAGTTATCCACATACAAATACAAATGGCTTATTGAGAATGACTCCAAACAATTTTCCTAACATTAGAAAAGGTTTTCATAGTCTTACCATAATAGCATTGACAATGTCGTTGTTGTTGTTTTTCAGGGCGCGTACAGCCTTCGCCCGCGACACGTTGGCTTGTGACATGACGAGTTCAATGTCCTTGACCTCAACTCCGGTCTCATCAACCTATAAAAATAATGTGGGCAGAAATTTGTAACACCTCATCTCATGAACCAAGAATACATATTAATTAGCATAGACTTGACTTGAATAGAAGCGTATTATCTTACCTCCTCTTCTTCGCTCTCTTCCTGTACTGTTGGCGTCTGTGTGTTTTCCTGGATGTTTGATACAGCTTCTCCCTGTACCTTGAATTTTTCTGCAGCAGCCAGCTGGGCTTGCTGGGAAAGATCTTCAATCTGGAGTGCACGAGAGATGGCAAAATGAGACATGAATACAACATTTGGCAGTAACATTTTAGCCGTGGACATTCTCTAACATTTTGACCAAATCTCTCAATGAGTCTATTCTGCTGCCTTAAAAAATGCTAAGAATAGACAAGCTGGTAGGAGCAATGTTATTACTTATTACTCAACACCTTAAGATGGCACCAAGACTAATGTGGCTTGTATTGTTACTGGCTACATACCTTAGCTTCACCGAAGACGATGTATGTGTCTGATGCAGGGCTCTTGTAGACATCTGGCTTGGTGATGACAAACAAGATGTTCTTTGACTTGCGAATCGTGACCCTGGTGACCCCTGTTACCTGCCTGAGACCAAGCTTTGACATTGCCTGCAAGAAATTAAAATCATTTTACAAATGTGGACAAATTTTGACCATTACAAAGAAAAGCACCATTCAAATTAAAAACACCCATTGTAATGGTAAAGTTAAGCTTGTTACCTTCCGCGCCTTCTTTTCACTGCGGCTCTGTTTGGCTTTGCTGACAGGCTCCTCATCTATCTCAGCGGCTGCTGCAAGCTATAAAAGATTCATACACATTCAATGTCAATAAGTACATATAGACTCGATACAAATTGTGAAGGTACGTCACTAGTTTTAAGTTTCTCTTCTCAGGACAGAAAGGCTGGCTTCAGTACACTCAGAAGAACGAAAGTCACTGTGCAAATCATCACAGAAGAGTTACAGACCAACAACATCTGCTGAAAACATTTGACATAGCCAGTAGATGTTGTAATGGTCCTGTTTGTTTGGGCTCTAATCAACAGTGAACACAATATTCAAGAACAGACTGTACACTCACCTGAGCTTGCTGTGTCTGTGTCTGTGCAGAGTCCTGTTCCTCCAGGTCAGGAACTGAGTCATCGCTGTCCGACTCAGTGCCGGAGCCTACAAAAACCACCAACAGAAACCAAAATTATTCACAACATGGCACCTTTCACACAGGTGTACCCCTGAAAGTTATTTTGTAAATACGATGCATCATTCCTAGAGAATAAAAATAGTTGTATCCATGTATATTTGTATTGCTTAAACTTAATGCTACACAATCACAATAATTAGAGCTTTTTAACCTCAAATCCAAACTACTATGTGCTCTGTGTGTTGAGAACATGATTCCCCTTCAATCTAATACCCTATTTACCAAAGCGACAAGACATTTTTACTATATAAAGGCTGATGGACATCATATGATCACACAAGTATATGTATCAGTATATAACCACAGAACAGACTTTTTTCCAAAACCAGATGCATCCATGTCAACAATAGGTAGAATCTTGAAACAAATGTTATTTATACTGCATAACCTTGGAGAATGGCATATCTAAGCATCTGAGCAGTTCCCAGATTGCAGTGACAGTTGGAAAAACAGATGGCACAAAAGAGGAGAGAAAGAAGAAAATACCCTTGTCGTTCTTGATCACAGGTTCCACTTTGGCTGGTGTTTTAGCAGGTGTGTGGGCAGGTTTGGGTGATGAGACAGGTTCAGAAGGAGCTGTACCGATTACCTCAACCTCAGGTTTAACAGGGGCAGGTTTTGCAACTGCCTCAGCAAATGTGAGTTTACGGGGAACTTGGGCAGGAACTGCAGGCTCAACTGGAACGGGTTTCAAGGGAGCAGTTGAAGGTTCAGCTAGTGGTTTGGCAGGCTTGGCAACCTCAGCAGGTGCGGCCTGAACCTCAACCAATTTGGCCTCAGTAACTTCCTTGGCACCCTTCACAGGAGCTGGCTTGGAAACCTCAGCAGCAACTGGTTTAGGTTCTGCAGCTGGCTTGACAACCTCAACAGGGGCAGATTTGATATCTGGTTTTACAGTCTTAGAAGCAGCAGCTTTAGTTTCTTCAACTTGTTTAGGAGCCTTGTCAGGGGCAGTTTGAGCCTCAACAGGTGGTTTAGCAGCCTTAACAGGAGCTGGTTTGGCTTCAACAGCTGGCTTAGCCTCAACGGGAGTTGGTTTGGCCTCAACAGCTGGCTTAGCAGCCTTAACAGGAGCTGGTTTGGCCTCAACAGCTGGCTTAGCAACCTCTGCGGGAGCTGGTTTGGCCTCAACAGCTGGCTTAGCAGCCTCAACTTGAGCAGGTTTGACCTGAGCAGGTGGTTTAGCAGCCTTAATGGGAGCTGCTTTGGCCTCAACAACTGGCTTAGCAGCCTTAACAGGAGCTGCTTTGGCCTCAACAGCGGGCTTAGCAGCCTTAACGGGAGCTGCTTTGGCCTCAACAGCGGGCTTAGCAGCCTTAACAGGAGCTGCTTTGGCCTCAACAGCGGGCTTAGCAGCCTTAACAGGAGCTGCTTTGGCCTCAACGGCTGGCTTAGCAGCTTCAACTGGAGTAGGTTTAGCCTCAACAGCTGGTTTAGCAGCCTTAACAGGAGCTGGTTTGGTCTCAACAGGAGCTTGTTTAACAGCTGGCTTGGCAGCCTCCTGTTTGGCCTTTGCAAGTGGCTTGGCAGCCTCAACAGGAGCAGGTTTGGCCTCAACAGCTGGCTTAACAGCCTCAACGGCACCCTCTTTAACAGGGGGTACAAATACAGGCATTTTAATTGGCTTCTCAGGTGGGATCAGTGGAGGAAGATCATCATCTGCCACTTTTGATGAAGCTACCTTAACTTCAAATGACTTGGGAGGGCTAGAAGCAAGAGTATCTGAAAATGAAACTGGTGCTGCTACAGCAGGCTTTGAGGTAACTTTGAAAGCAGCTGGTGCTGCTACAGGCTTTGTAGCCGCTGGTGAGGGTTTCTTTGTCTCTGCTGGAGCAGGTTTAGCTTCAACTACAGTTTGCTTGGGGCTCGCCTGTATTGATTTTTCATTGGCGGCAGTGACCTTGCACCCCTCAGGGGCAGGAGCAGGCACAAATGCCTCTCCTTTCTTAGCTTTTCCTTGTTTGCCAGCCTTGACAACTTTTGGGTTGGAACGGTTAGCCTGATTAGCAGAAGAGCTAGCAGGTGAAGAGGCTAGGGGAGATGTCACAGGTGACAAGGGGGTAGAGGGAGTAGATTTTGGTGAGGTAGGAGAAGAGGAAGAAGCAGACATAGAGGATCGTTTTCTTCTGCCAGGGACAGCCTTTGGGGCAGAAGAACCCTGCGCACTCTTGGCACCTTTGCCTTTAGGTTTGGCAGGGCCAGAAGCTGCCTGAGGTTGCTGGGAGGAAGCTGGGGCAGAAGGTGTAGCAGAATAGAGAAAGACTCTTTAAAATTTTTGACGGAAATGTTTAAGTCTTACTCATGCGGGTTAAATGGTCTCAAACCAAGACGCAACCATCTTTCTTAGGGTTAGGAAAAGGACCTGCCTAACTTGACTGATGCAAACTGCCACTCAAAATGCAGAGTACATACTACCAACTTCCACACAGAAAACCATTCTATATTTAGTCAGGATGCACTTAGGATGAAAAGAAAAATGCATATTACACCACTGCATCTCATAATGAAATGTAACACAAAGGGCTGTTGCTACATAGACATGGCACCACTGACCCAGTGTTTCAAGGAAAAAACTTAAATGAACTGTTCAACCCTATTTTGCTTTTTTAAAAACTATTACTACTAAATGTATTTCATCTAAAATAACTTTAGTCAAACAAATCCATTCCTAGTGAAATAATAATTCACTGTCCCTTTTAATAATGATCAAAAATTTTAATTGGTGGTAGGGCGATTGTATGAGAACAGGTTATAGAAAGAATAATTACCCTTTTTAAGAAGATTACAGTGCTACAGATGTAGACAAAAACAATATCAAACTCCAAACCAGTCATGGCCTACCCTGAAAAAAATATAACTGAGGCAGCACTAGGACTATATGTTGAGTTGAAAACAACATGAACTTTTACCAATCATGTTACCACTTGTGAAAAATATGCCCAACCCGACCAAAAAGTTGCATTCAAGAGATGGGTGCAAAAAGCGGAGGGGTGGGGGAGTAGACCCTGCTAAAACGAACCTGACAGGTGGCGAGTGGAAATGGATGGGCCTTCACATTTGGAGGTCCCCTTTGATTGAATGCCCTTGGAGAGAAGTATAACAGGTTCCTTCTTGTCAAGATTTTTGTTTTGAGTTGCCATGTCGATGTTCACATCACCAGGCAATACGTCTTGAGGTGCATCCAGGCAAAGGTTCCTCGGACCCTCTTCTGCCATCTCCCTATCGTCACTATTTGCACTGACGTCTTCAGGAGCAGATGGTTTTGGATCATCAGGAATTTTCCCGGCCACTGTTCCCAGCTCTTCTCCAGAGGCCTTCTCTTCTACAGAAGTCTGCTTAACCTCTTTGCTGGCCACTTCTTCAGCAGAAACGACTGACTCCTGACTTTGTACCTCTTTAGTTGGAGGCTCAGCAGTAGGCATGGACTCTTCAGGAACTGGCGAACCAGACGAAGCCCCTGGTGGGTCAGCAGGTGCCCCTTGCTGTGAAACAGATGTTTCTTCTAACCCAGCTGCAGCAACACCATTTTGTTGATCGCCACTAGTCTGAATGCTTGCTTCTTCTGGGGAGCTCATCTCTTGAGCAGGAACAGAGGTTTCTGGAGGATTCTCCAGTGGGGTTGCCTTGTTCACTGTAGGAACAGCCATCTCAGGGGGAGAATTCATTACTCCTGTAGCTGATGAAGGAAGAGCTACGGGAGTAACAGGGGGAAGGGGGGATGTTTGAGGAGCTCCAATTGCAAAATTTAAGAGCTTCATGGATACACTGAAGTGAAAAAGAAATTGTGTTCCACACGTGAACAAAACGATGAGTTTGTGAGAAAGTTCAGCAACGTGGAACTGGCTCGACATACCAGTGTAAAAAAATAAATAAAAGGGGTGTTGGGTGCACTTAAAGAACAAAAAGTGCCCATGTTCCAAACTCCATGCAGTGTCCAAGACCTTCTTTAGTCCAAAACAGCAGCCTGTGCATGTAAATAACCTATGAATCCATTTACTCCATTTAACCAATACCACACTAGACTGCACTCATGAACTCTGTATACATTATTGCACTGCTTCTTGGCACGGTCTATAGAGTAATTATGCAAGAGTCATTGTATTAATAGTTAAACATCCAAAATAACTTTGCAATCTATTTCAATTGCCTTTTATTCCTAGATAAAAGCATTGTGGGCAACCACAATAGAGTGCTGGTTGACAAGCTGACACAAACGCATTCGCAGTATCCTTCCTAACTCAACTACATATCCAGTTTGATTTAAGCTAAACCAGTGACACTCCATTTTAGGTCACAAGCCCAACTGAAATAAACAAGGGTGTTAAGTTATTTCTCTTCATCCTTGTACTGTACATTTAAGTATTACAGCGTAGTCAAAATTCCCTTTGCGAGTTGAAACAAGTTCAAAGTTAAGGACTACTGGTGACTTCATTTAATGGTCTCCTCTATGGTGCACACACTCAAAAGTAAAGTTTGGAAACAAATTCAAAACAAATGTGTTTGATGGCAGCTTTTCACCGTGTATGTACAGTGTACTATATGTCACTGAATCCTCTTGGTATTTTTACATTTGGTTGTAATGGAAGAGCAACTGCTGAGTGACAGGCTAACCTGTTTCTCTAGTGCCTGCTACAACTGATCAGTTGATACAGAAGTCTATGCCCCACCCCTGAGCAAGCGCCTCCACCCACTTACCAACCATTTCTACAGGAAAATACTGAGGTGCATGTGTGAACAGTGATGCTCAAGAATTCATTAAAAATACATGGGATTGGATTTACCTGGTGTCCATGATAGTTGAAGACTGGATGTGACTGAGTTCAGAAAAATGTACACTTTTTTAACCAGATGCAAGATTTAACCTTACTTTTGGTCAAGAACACCATGTACAATATGCAAACTGGTGACTTTTGAAAGATGTCTACTGATATTAAACTATGTTTGTGTCAGCATAACACTTCAGAAAATTACATACAAGTATTGACCACATGTATTGCACTATAAACATAAGTTGTGTTTAACAGTTAAAAGAGGATATAAGCAAAGTTGTTACCAACAAGACCAGAATGATCTATTTTATACCATCAGCAACAAGGCTACTTCCAAGTCGGTTTTTTTTAATTTATAGTGCACAGGGAAAACCACACTGAACACCATGCATTGTGTGATAAATCCAGTTGCCAGTGCAAGTCACCACACTCCATCGTGAGTTTGTGTAAATAAAAAGAGGGGTCCTGGATTACTCTTTTCAAGGCAAGCCAAGCAATATCAACACTGCAAATTCCTCAGTGATCAAACTACTGTTACAAATGTCTCAACACATGGCTGGTGAGAGTCAAAATAACTGTCACCTGTTATGTCCACTCAGTGTCCAGCCAGCTGAGTCAACTCCTAAACCAAATAATGTTCCAATCATCCAATATTGATCCTTTGCTCAACAAATAACCTTCCATAGATGATTACTTGTTGACCAATTCACAAGTTCTGAGAGTTCAAGGACCCCTTTCTCGTACTGCATGCATGTTCATGTCAAGATAAAATATACAAACCAGTCTCCACTTGAGGCTGCTGCATCTCCTGCTCGGTGACTGGGACCGTTTCTGTGGCTTCACCAGGCATGGTTGCTTGTGAGAAAAAATGAAGGAGAAGACAGTTCATTAGCACAAGTTAAGTTTTAATAACTTCTAGTGTTCACGGTCTTTCGTTGTTGGGCCCCTATTGGCCCCCACTTTATATGGCAGTTTTATTATTACCCCTGTCAGCCAGAAATCAACTTAAGGGTGTTGAATCATTGAATAGTTGATTGACATACAATTGGCAACAAGTTTGATCATTGATTTTCATTTATAAGCAAAAACAATGTGATCTCATTGATGGACTTTGGGAAATAGTGGTTGCAACCTTACATAACGATTTATGAAAGCAGAAAAATGTTGTTTCACTGCATTTTCTCCATCCTGAACACAATAGACCAGGTCTAACCCCATTAGAGACTACACTTGTCAAACCTAGACATGATTAAGAGAATAGACTACAGTAACTGTTTAAGAAATACAGTTTTAGATTTGAGAAACGTTTAATAACACAAATACGATTTGTTACAACACAAATAGACCACAAGACCAAGTGTAGATCAAAATCCACCATGCTTAAACTTGTCAAATGCAGACCACATTAACCCAGAGGAGCTAAACACAGTTAAAAACACAGGTTCAGAAGAGTGAAATGTACGTATCAGAAGCTAACTTCAGCATCGTTGTATTTAAGTAATTTAGGACAGCTTCTTTGGCACACAACGGATCACTAACGGACTGGTTAACCAGTTCAGACCATGAGTTGGAGTTGTCATAATCGGTTGAACGGGTGACCGAGCCCATGCTTTAGCCTGTGAGCTCCGTCTGTAACGTTACTCTCCGTTAGAGCCACGGTAAGCTAACTGCTGCTGTCAGCCTCGACATTAGGAAAGCTTAACCACCACTTTCTCCTTCAATTTGACCTCTTTAAAGTGACCACCTCGATGTTACACCTATAAACCTCACATCTCTTACCGGCCCTGACAGGCTGCTAGTATAAACTGAAGTCATCATGTTCCCCCATTTTGAGCCGGTAATCGGAGGCACAACGGCGCATATATTACTGAACAGAGGGACCATAAAGGAGTAATAGCTGCATCGGCCTGTTCACTGGACATTAATTAAGCACACGAAACGCTTGGTACAGACGGGTTAATGTGAAAAAAGGCTGGATGATGTTGGATTATCAGAGGAGACACTCACCGACTTGGGATGCTATATCCAAGATGGCTGTGAGAGAGAACTTCTAACCCCGGTCTCACGGTAATATCCGCTTTAGAGCAGTATTTTCTACTTCCGGGTTATTTAAAGGCACAGTCCACATGTTACAGTTATAGCTTCGCAGAGTACACTGTCGAAGAGTTTGAACTCGGGAAATATAGGAATATTATGTTTCTCAACTGCTGTATTCATACCAGCTCAAGGGCCCCAAAGCACTAATATGAGATAGTCTTAAATTGACAATGACACAGGGTCCCTCTTTACTGGATGGAGGATAGAGGACCTGTCATAGTTGATATGTAGCTACTTCATTGGTGCAAATATCTAACATATTTATGATTAATCAACTTATGTAGATTCAAATGCTATGTAGTAAACCTCGAGCTTTAGTGGCTCCTGGCCAATTGTCCACTTTAAACATTTGTTAACCCAGCCTTGTTAGTGGTGTAAAACACACTGGAAACAACGTGAAGTTAGTTGACAAATATGACTGATAAAGTTTTAACAGCATTAGAAATAAATAATAACTTAGCCTCAATCCAATTGTAGCATTGTACCACAGATGATGTACATTGCACCACTTAAGGAGATCAATACTGTAATAATAGAAGGACTAAATTAATTCAAGTTCAAGCAGAGATTAAAAATAGATGCACTTTAAGGCAGGCAATACACATTATCGTGTCTTTTCTTTTCCACAGATGTCCATGTTGACCATTCATAATGTGATAAAACCTCAAATAATACATTCAGGATAAACACGCTACAGTGATGACTGCCACAATACAGGTGCGTTGACAACACCCACAAACTTAATAAAGTAATTTGTGATAAAGATTATAAAATGCTAAAAACAGAGGAGCTATAAAAGAGGGTCCATATCCTAAATGTTTTTTTTTCTATGAAAATTGTAGGCTGATTTTTAAAAACTCATAAGACACCTTTGCTCTAAATTGTACATGTGTTAAGTATCAGCTAAAATCTTACAAAATTCTAAATTTTAAAAATTCCCAAGTTAAAATATGTAACCCTCTGCTACAATATTAAACTGCCTGCTTCAGATATATACACTTGAGTGGAAAATCTGCAAAACCTCTGTTGTATTCAAAGTAACTGGAATACAAGATTTTCAAAGAGTAGAAATACCAAATTTATTTTCATAAATGACTGTACAGCAGAAGAATGTAACAAGTAGACAAACCATAATAAAATTGGCATTGTATTAGGAAAATCCTACACTAAATAGAGGATTTACTCATGTTTAATTTATTATTACTGAATCCCATAAGAGCATTATCAAACAGATTTGGATGAAATTATTGTTGGTCAAGAAAATGGCAAAATTCCACCACAACATGAAGCCCCCCAGTACATGGCAGTTAGTGATAGCGAGCTATTAAAAGTGCCACTTCAGAAGATGTGTATCACTCTCTGATTGTGGATCCAGTTCAGAATTCTTTCTGGAGATCTGAAGGAAACAAGGATAAAAGAAATTTGATTAGATGAAAGTAATCTCAAAAGTCGGTCTTTATCTAACAAAACTACAACGTACCACTCTTTCTGAGAAGTTCGCCTTTCCATGTGCGAGCCATCCCATCCAGAAACTGATCGAAGTATTTCACATACTTTGCCAGACTGGTTCTTTTGTAATCTGTGAAGAGAAGTAATCTGTGAGCTGAAATATTCAGTTTCTCTGGACCCAAAGTATCAAACTATTGAGAGTGAAATTTTTGACTGAAGTGAAAGATAAAAGTAACCTACTCTTACTTGTAGACTTAACAATACAGGCTCTTTAATAAATTTCTTTTAACTTCTTTTGAGTTGCCTGTTTGGGTCCGTGACATGTTTTGGAGTAAATGTAAAATATAGCATTTTTCATGATGAAAAACACATCAAGCAATGTACAATCAGAACGGAGCAGTTTAGGTTTACCATTTGCAGTGGTTGAAAATGCATATTTGATCGGATGTTACACCACTTTCTGCTTATTATTATTTTTGCCTTTATCAGGGGCTCCAGTAACAAGAATAAAGCTGGCATTGATTTTGTTTACAACCATCATGAATTTTTATTGTGTATATTTGTCTAAATTGTCCAAAGTATGTGTTTTCACTGGTTTACGTCCTCTGATCACCAGAATTTTCTCCCTACTCTGGTTTGGTTTTCCTTTTGTTTCCAACAAATACATTAGACTGCTGTTAATTTCAAATGTGAATTGCTACTGGAAAAATTAAGGTTGACATACAAAGAAAACTTATAAAACAACTGAAGCCAGGCCATTGAGAATGGACATGAGTAAATATTTTTTTTAAAGAATTAAGAATGTGACAAATGAAAGACAATTTTTTTTCTGATTGGCTGTTCCTGCTCTACCACTACTTAGAGGTACACCACGCTATAAGAATAGGTTTCTTGACAAATGTGTCTTGTTCACTTATAGCGGGACTAGCAACTCAGCAATTACTATACTGTGTTATTATAGGAAGAGTAAGCAGATGAGCCCCTCTGCATCCACTCAGTGCCTGCTAGGGATCGACCGATATGGTTTTTTCAGGGCAGATACCAATACCGGTTATCAGTAACCAAGCAGACCGATAACCGATATTTGGAACCGATATGCCAACACAAAACTGCTGCTGTGTAAGGACTCTCACTGTGGCTTCCAGGTGTTTCTATTATTTTGTCCACCCCATTTATATCAGTGAAAGTAGGCTAAATAACAGAGACACCTCTGTATAATGTAATATAGCTCAAAACACTACATCTTCCAAAAATGATAATCAACAACTGTCTAAAACAATTTTAATAAAAACTGAACATTATAACCTTAATGAAGGAGGATTTACTGCAGGACTGTTGTATTAGACTACATTAGTTTTATCTAGATGTTCCGAATAAACTGACAACTGAGTGTATATCAGTAATTATCAGTTGTATGCACAGGCTGCAAAGAGCCTGACTGGAATTGATTGGTTGATTTCAGTGCTGTTCTCAGCTGTGAACTGATTCACCTGACAGCCTAAAGATGCTCTTTAATTTAATAGTTTATCATATATTATCATTATCACCAAATAAGATGGTGATTGCCTTGTGTCAGCCTACTTGTAGCTTTGAGACAAATGCAGAGAAAGGTAAAGCTCTTGTCTGGGATACAGTAAGCCTGAAATTCAGATTTCAGAATTTCACCTCTGATCTTTCGTTTCTCTGCTGCATCCTTCTCGTTTTCCTTCTCCTTTGTGTCTTCTGACTCCTCTTCTGTTCTGGGCCGATCCAGCTCCTCACAGATCATACTAGAAAAAAAAGTTACAACATCAACTCTGACGAGTATCAAACACCTCACACAACAGAGCGCAAGACGTTGAGTCATAACTTACCTGATTGTGGGAACTGCAAAAGGATCAAACGTATCTAATTCTTTGAGGTCCATGGGAACAGAGATGCGTCCTGTCCAGAGTTAAGAGAGAGAGGTCACAGGGAGACTTTAACAGGCATGTATTCACCGCGTGTAATTTCATCAGATCTATGCTCACCTGTTTTGGGGTGGACACTGAAGGGGCTCTTCAGCAAATGGTTCACTCCTTTACTGACGTTCACATCGAGCCGTGGATAACAGTACTGCAGCATGATTTCTTTCTCAAAGTGCTGGCCCTTTTTGGCAGTGGCCTAGAGGAAGAAAGACTGTATCACTGCTTCTGTCTTGTTCATAAGCCCTCTTGTTGTAATGTGTAAAAAGAATTCAAATGTTTTAACACCTGTAATTATGGGGCATTAGCAGAATTACCAACCTGCTTCCTAGTGGCTTGATCTTTGACCAGTTTCCAACGAGTCTCAGGTTTCTTCTCATTTTGGAAACTCTGCTGTAAGTCTTTTCTAACATGTAAGAGCTGAGTTAAGGTCAAGAATTAAAATGCAGTTTTTTTCTCATTAACCACCAGCTCTACTGCATGTGTTCTTGAAATATATATGAAATTGTGAAAAGGATATCTTCAGGGACGAGTGCCAGCACTTTGTCTACAGATTCCTTGCGGCCCAGTATCTCCTGTTCATGCAGTGCGTACTGGGAAAAGTAGCGCTCCACCACTGACAAAGACTCTCTGTTGAAATTACAGGTAGAGACTCTTAAACAGCTAAAGCCACAACATCCAACAGAGGCAATGACCTCAATAACAAACAGTAAAATTGGACACAAACATCAAAACACGACAAATACAGTAACAGCTTCTAACTGACCTTCACAAGAAAACAATCAGATTCTTACCTAATAGAAGGATGAATTGGATCTGTCAGCACTACTTTCTTCACTGTTTCTTCACCACCCTGTAAATCAGCAATGATGTAGTACATTACATCTCAAAAATGAACATACATAAAAGTAATTAAAAGACTGATAAGTCCCAATAGAAGTCAACAATAGTTTAAATTTTTAAGCTACATCCAGTGACTGGTGATTTCTGTCAAAAACATATCTAGTTGGAGGGAAAGAAAATTAATAAATACTCAAATAACATAATGTAAATTAATTACTTTGGTTCATGTCCAGTAATACAATAAATAAATATGTCCTCATCATCTAATGAAAGCTAAAATACTGTTACCTTCACCAGGCTCAGGTATTCTGCAATAGCAGAGCGTGCGGCTACAGAGAGCTTCCTGGCAGCTTCATCACACACCCAGCAATGCACTCCTCTTCTGCCAGAATAAACCCACAGCAGATGCTGGAAACCAAAGTCCTCTGTAATGACACATAAAACAAGTGTTTGATGCTAATTTCTGCCAAAAATCTAAGATGCCGTGAGCAGATGGCTGACACAAAATCAATAACAAACAAACCTCGAAGAGCTCGATCCAGGATATGAATAGCGATGGTCATCAGGGTCCAGCACTTGGAGCAAATGTCTGCAGCACTAAAATTAGAGAGTGTTTTCTCAGTGATGTGACTATCGGATATGGTGAATTACTAGGTTAAAGTGATGTGTAATAGAGTGGTTGTTTACAGTCACTACAGTGTACAGTAAGACACTGACACACTCTACAATCCGCAAAAATAAACCATATTTACCTGCAACAGCTTCTGACATCATCATAATCTGTCATATCGATATCAAACACCAGCTCCTTCTCCAGCGCCTGGAAGGTTCCTGACTTCACTGTGTTGTGTTGATTCGGCTGTGGGTGACAAACAGGTGAAACTTCCTCGATATTCCTGCTCAAACAGGAGAGTAGCTGCAATGACACAGAGTCCTGTTAGAGTGCAAATAATAGGAGCATGCAGTCTTACCCTGTGGCTGTATATTGCTCCAATGTCAATCTTGTAAGGGTTCATCTTCTGCATTTCCTTCTCCAGTTCGTTCTGCGTGGTGAACGACTGGTAGCGGACGTAGATGTCATCTTTGAGTGTGAAGGAGAACTCTCTATTTTGAAAGTAGTTCTTCTGCACTGAGGTTGAAGAAGAAACAACATATTAACCAGGGGCTTCTGGGGCCCCTGGAGGTCTAGGGCCCCTGGGCAATCCAGCAATGGGTGGACAAAATAACAGAAACACCTGCAGCATAATGCAATACAACATCAAGAGCACCACAAACTACATCTTCCAAAAGCACTTCTCTAAAAATGTTACAACAGAAACTGAACATAAAACCCCTCATGAAGGCAGTACGTGTTGACTGACGTATTAGTGTTAGCTAGGTGTACCTAATAAACGGGTAAGTGAGTGCAACATGTTGTCAACAGGAACAATAAAACAACCACAGTTGACACTGTTGAGAGGAAGCATGTAGTTAAGTCACACTCCACACAACATTGTTGAAGAGCTCCAGTCGTTTAGCTTGGTAACATTAATATTTGCTCTTTCCTGCCCTGTCTTATCAATGACACTCACCTCCTCCATAGTTCAGCCAGCGGTAGTACTGGGAGAAGGGGAACAGCCGCCGGTAGTACAGCGGCAGTAAATCTGGCAGACTAGCCGGGTCATAATCTGAGGATGGCATCACCTGGCAGTTAAGTAACGGCTCCGGTACCGGTGTAAAATAATGCTATAGTTAGCAGCAACAACAGCTTCAGTGCGACGTTTTACAGCGCGGGAAAACGCTTGAGCAGCGGACAGAACCAATGAGACAAGGTTCAGACAATGTCGTCACAGAAACGAGTAACTTCCTTTTCAAGGAGGAGATAAAAAAAATCCTTTCCCTGTTAGATCGACGAGAAAGGAATTATAAAGCAAAACTATGAAAAGTGAGCTGAACTAGAATAATTGATCGGCTGTAGACGTCAGAATTATTATATGTCTTTACTCGAAGCTTTACCGAACCTTGTAACATTCGTCCTACAACGAATGAAGCGGCGGAAGTGTCGCCGGGCGAGGAGAGGATCATGGAACATGTAGTCATTTGACTCTTTACTTTATTTAATCAACCAGTGAAATAAATACAACAAATTGATACAAGGAAAATTAATGAATAAGTATCAAAACAAATAAGCAAAAAGGTTTGTGTGTGTAATATTTGTACACTTTAGTGTAAACATTTTTGCCTAACCTAAATTGCATCAATACATGATCATATTTGACATCAAATCAAAATCCAGAAAAACAGTCTTGATTTTGGCTTTATAAACTTCTCCAGATGATTTGGATGGCAGATACAACAGGTGTTCTTGGGTTTCAGTGTCTTTCTTACAAAATGCACATTTAATAGCGCTTCATTTATTAACTGGGCCCCACCAGTCCACATTATAAAAGTGAACGCATAGGTTTTTTATTTCTCAAACTCTTTTAAAGTTTAATTTACAATAAAATAATGGTATATAACCTATTCCATATTAGAAAAGAACAGGAGACATTTGTCAACTTACACTTGAAGAAAACAAATGTATGGAAACATTGTAACATAAAATATAGCCTGAATATGGAGACAAGGAAATGAATAATGACTAATAAAAATATATATAAAATACATCTAAGGGGTTTTGTTTTATAAAAGCTTCATAATAAAAGTAAAATGCAGTGAGTACATTGTTGTGTTAAAAAAATTAATTCCATTTACAATTTAAAAATGATATGCTATAAATTTACGGGATACTATCAAGACTCTAGCTTTGTGTTGTAAACGCAGAGTTCCTGACATCTTATAGTATTTTAAGTATTGGCAACACCAAGGTCTTTACTAAAGATATGTGTTGAGTCAGAGTATTCTGTACTTACTCCTCCAACAAAACATTACTGGACCCTCCCTGTTCATTGTGTTCTGATTTCATGGCTCCTTTTGCACTGCACTGTCTTTTCTACACCTTTAGAGGGCAGTGTTATTTCATGACAATATTTACAGTGTTGCCACACTGACCTCCATTTCAGGAAATTTAAGATAATTGGTTATGAAACACTTGTTCATAGTTGGTTTATGAAGGCAACAGGAAGACCACAAAACGTTCAGCATCGAAGTAAAATTCTGAGAGCAATAGTACAAAAAAGGCACCTCCTTGGTTTTCAGTGGAACAGGGGTAGAGATGCAGGAGCCAGAGAGGCCACACAGGGAGACTTGAGTGCCTTTTTTGTTTCTATTTTGCTAAATTGGTCTAATTTATGCCATTCCCCTTTCTTTCTGTTTGATTTCAAGACAAAAAGGAGCAGCGGTGGTGCCCCTTCTTGCCCCCCAACCTCACCAGTGGCAACATAATGTGGCTTTACTGGTGTATTTTTAGGCGGCCAGTCTGAAACTCCATCTCGCTGAAGTGGCGCTGTTCACACTGAAGGTTGAGAGCTGTGCAGCGTTAAGAGCTCTTATCAGTTATTGTACTTCTGATATAAAATAACACTCACCCTTTGCAGTGTTGAACAGGACATTAAATAGCATTAATTAGCTTTGTCTTATCCATTGTTGTCACTAGAGCCTTTCTCTATAATGTATCTCCCTTCCGTCACTCTGCCTATATTCCACAGTTCAATGGAAATTTGAATTTGATGTAAATGTTAGGACATTTTGCATACAAACCTTTTTTGATGTTGCTATCAGACACTTCCCCTCTTATGCACTCCATTTAATGCATTTATTTTTTCACAATTGTCAGATGGGTAGATGCTGATGACTGCCCTTCAGCACTGCAATTACCCAGCTGTTAGCATACTATGCTACTGTATATGAAATACCTGCACACTAAATTACTAGTAATGAACAAGTTTCTCCTTTGCAGGCTGTTCACTGATGCTGAACTGTGCCATGTTCAACAGCAGTTAACAGACAGGTATTACCAATACATTTCCACTTCATGATTACACTTGTGTTTATGTTAATATTCTTTAATCATATCCTCATTTACATAATGCAAGAGCTCTCAACCACATCATACTTGAATTATGCAAATGAGTTTGCTTCAAGGCATAGGGGATGTGATGGGTTTTTCTTTTTTGGGTCCTTTCTTAGAAATGATTTGAAATGGATTTGGGATTAATGCCCACTCTCTATCTCTCACTGCCAACATTCCCAATGTATGTTAATTATTCTGGTGCATATTAATGCACATTACATACAGTAGCTCCTAAACGAAAGCATTGCTGGCCATTCCTGAACTGTTACACTTGAACTTTCCTGTGGCTCATGCATTTAGACATGGATGCAGATATCACATAACAATATAGCAGATACTTACTACTTACTGCTTGCAAACATCCACACACACGCATGCACGTGCACGCACACACGCACGCACACACACACACACTCACAACACTAAATGTCAGTGGGGCAAGTTAGGTAAAGTGAAGCGTGGGGTGAAAATGCCACTTTCAGCCCTGTGTATGATAAATCTGGGTCAGATAGTCATCAGGTGGCCATGGAGCACATCATCAATAGGTCACCATGTTAGCTATACAGCAGGAGTCATAGTTTGGGGATTATATAAACGTCACTGCATTACCCAAGTGTGCCACCATCTCAGAGTCCTGTCTCCTCTCATCAGGAAAACACTGGCGACACATAGGCCTTCAGTAGAAAACCTCTTGGACACATTCTGCAGCCATGCTGAACATGTGACCAAATACTATATGACTGTGTTTGATGGTGCGGATGTTGATTTAAAATGCCCAAAACATGGAAACCTTTCTAGCCTCTGGTAGTCCTATCATCAGGAATGTCCATTCAGTGTAAAATTATCTTTAGGGCAGTATTTTGACATTGTGACAAATATGCTTAATTACTTTCTCTCTGAGAACTAGATTAAAAGATTGATACCACTCTGTTGTGTCAAAGAGCCCAGTCCCTCTAATTCTCCTATCATGCTAAATGTATCTTCATGATAACAAACAGAAAGACAAGGATTTGTTCATAGTGGGGTAAAGGAAGAGAGGGATAAGTTGTGACAGACTGAGTTATAAACCTACTGTGACTCAGTGTGTGGAAAGTCCAACATAAAGATACAGTAAGTCCTCTAAGAGGAAGAAATTGAACATGAGGGAGTGAAGCATTAAGTGGAAGTAGGTGAGTGGAAGTGTTTGCATCCTATTAGTGTATTGTGTAAGTGTGTGGAGAGGAGGAAATATAGCACAGAGAAATTTCAATGAAGCAAGACAGAAAGACACAGTTTACCTCTATCTGCACCAGGCAGCAGGTGCAATTCATTTCCCCATCCAGAGTTTCACGCTATACATTAATGGCATCAAAGAGTCCTCTGTGACAGTTGAGCAGTTGTTTCCATTTATGTTCGGCACAACACGCCATGCTCCACTTCCTCTCCAAATGGCTGACACACTCTCAAATTCTCTGTTATACCTCAGATTGATGAAGCCATCTGTCATGTATCTGGGGTTGGCAGGCCATGCATGCTGCACGCTACGTGTTGTGTAAACATGTAAATTCACTCATATGTTTCATGTAAAAATAATTGCATGCATTCTCACATGACTGTATCCCACAGTTGGTTGGAAGGATAAACACACTAAAATACACATGAGAAAAACAGTAAGACTACACTTACAAAGCAAATTCTGATCATCTGGATTTCTGTGTCCTGCTTTACAACATTTTCATAGACACTGTCATTTTCAGCCTGTTCATCATCTGAACAAAATGACCTCTGAACTGAGCTATTCCAATAAAACTCCAAAAACAGACGATACTACCAGCACACACAACCAGTTGTGCTATTGACTCAAGTCAGATAACAAATGAGGTACTCTCTGATTACGTCTGGTTTCACTGTGTGTTGCACAAACACAAACTACACACACAAACTGCTGGCGGAAGAGGAATAGCAACGCTAATAACACATAGGCTACATTAATCACATTTTCCTGTGAGGTTGTTGACATATTTTGTATCTGTTTCTGTTTCAGATTTAGGTCTTTAAAAAGAAGACACATCAAGTTTTCCATGAAGAGGATGAGAGGACAAAAATCCCCCCGCAACTTCACTCTAATCCTGATCTGCTTCCATTATCTGTTCTTTAATTTTTGGCTAATTTAGACTGAAAAACTGAATAAATTAAATATGAACGATACAAATACAAATAATACTACTAATAATAATGATACAAAGTTTTTCTTGTTTTCTGGAGGGGACTCCTGATTTAATATTTCTGAAAACGTGGCTACAGCCCTGCAGCTCTGCCCGTCTCCTCTTCCGGCTCGCTCATTGGTTGGCGCGACTATATATAAAGTTCCGCAGTGGCCGCCTCATTGACTGCTGCTGCGCCTCTTCACTCACTCACTGACTGACTGACTGACTGACCGAGCAGGAGGGAGGACGCAGCTGGTTACCAGAGGGACTTATTTCATTACTTCTACTCCTGTTCATTTCTGATAGTCTGCCTGTTTTATTTATTCCCGCCATGAAGGAAAGAAGACTCACTCAGCCTTTTGTAGCGAGGTGTAAACTCGTGCTGGTCGGAGACGTCCAATGCGGGAAAACAGCGATGTTACAAGTGTTGGCAAAGGACTGCTATCCAGAGGTATGAGGTTTCTCTACACAGTTCATGTCTGTAGTTTTTGTTGCATCAACTATTTCGTTCTTTAATACTCCAACAAGGACTTTCAGAGTTTTTAAAACGTTTTCCTACACCATTCAGTATATTGTACCTCTTGGTTTCCAATACTGTTTTAGGTTAGTGTTACTTAATTTAAATTTGTTGATATCCTATTGGTCTTATATACAGTATTTTGAC